TGTACCACTGAAGGGGGAAGACATTGGGAGTAGGAACAGAGGAGGGAGGGGTCGCGATTGTAGAAAGCAAATGTGGATGCTGACAGTTAGAGGGAACACTCTCTCTCTCTCTCTCTGGTTTTATCAGACATGCATCTCTTTTGTGTCCCCAGAGAAGAGCCCGACTTGGCTGGGGCTGCCAGGGAGGAGCTTGCTTCAGCCACATGCTATGGAGTTGCCAGGTCTCAAAGCAACTTATCAGGCTTCCCCGGTCATCAGGGGCAGCCATGTGTAGTACATCTGGCACCCAGAATATATGTGGTCTGAGCAAGGAAATGCCCCTCAGGATTTCCCTCTGCTCCTCTCTCACCCTGCCACCATCATGGGTCTTTGCAGCCTCCCAAGCAGTGCTGTTCCCTGGAGTGGGTGGGGGAAGCGGAGCTGACAGTCAGGGATAGAGGAAAATGTGTTACATAAGTTTGAGAAAAAGGCTTGCTTGCCATGTGAATAGAAATCAGATACAAGGACACCTACAGAGGCAGTGCAGCCACTCCTGAGCAACAGCTACAGCCTGGAGAGATGTGTCTGAGCCAGCAGGGGAGGCGTCCCCAGGCCCTGGGGAGGGGAAGGGACTGCTGCTGTCTTGTCTTGGAGGGCAGCCTGTGAAAGAATCATTGTGTTCCTGTAACATGATGTGCTTCTATTATTTTAAAGATTTTATTGATTTATTTTTAGAGAGAGGGGAAGGGAGGGAGAAAGAGGGAAACATCAATGTGAGAAACAGCGATCAGCGCCTCTCACCTGCCCCCAACTGTGGACCTGGCCCACAACCCAGGTGTGCGCCCTGACCAGGAATTGAACCAGTTACCTTCTGGTTTGCAGGACGACACCCAGACCACTGAGCCACATCAGCCAGGGCTGGTGTGCTTTTTAAATGCCCGCACTTCATAACATTGATCCTGGTCTCCATCTGGTGAGGTGGCAAGAGCTGCGATTGCTCTCAACAAGAGCTGCTTTACTGCTAGGCAAATCACAGACCAGAGAAATGAAGTGACTTGCTCAATGCCTCATGTATAGCAGGTGGTAGGCCAAGGATTTGAATCCAAGTGCATTGTTGCTTTAGTTTCTTCCACTCTTTTGCTTAAAAACAAACCCTAACTGGCCATTTCTAAATAGGCCATGGGAGCATTTGGAAGGTGAGGCAGCTGAGGGCTTCATGTCCAGGCTCAGGGATGAAGGGCTGGGGCGTTTGGTGGGAATGTGGGGGAGAGAGGCGCATGTTGGCAGGCCCCGCGTGTGCCCTCCCCGCCAGGCCCCAGCAAGCACTGTCACACGCCTAGCTCTTCCAGTTCTGTCCTGTGACTCAGCATCACTTTCCACATACTAAACACTGACTTCCAGGTGCTAGTCCTCTGTCCTCTGCTTGAGAAGGGCCACAGTACTGTAGAGAGAAGGACCTCCTCGGCTGAATGGGTTTGCCTGGGCTTGTCCTAGTGTTAGGCTTGGGAAAGAAACAAAAGGAAAATTAGTCTCTGACCTCCTAAAGTTTATAATCTTCCCTTGTGCTTAAATTCTCCAAAAGGTCACACAGGATGTTGCTCAAGGGTCATCCCCACAGCGAGGCCTTCTCTCATTGTGTTGTCACAGCAGCAACCCCACCCCCACCCATCTGTGCTCTTTCATGGTTTTGTCATCATTGGTGCTTGAGACCATCTGATGTTGCACGTTGGTTTGTCAGTTTGCTTTTGTATCCTCACACTAAAATGTAAGCTTCATTTTACACTGCACACTTGATCGGTTTGCTTGCTATTGTCTCCCTGGCACCTGCATGGTGCCTGGCATATAGTAGGTGCTCAGGGAACACAGGTGGATGAGTGAACCAGTTGAGTAATGTGGCAGTAAGTTAAGTGGGAAGAGGACAGGGGCAGGCATCAGAAGGCCTGAGTTCTAATTCCAACTTTACTCAGTTTTTGCTGTGTAGCCTCAGGCAAGTCCCTGGACCCCTCTGGGTCTTAGACATTTAATCACCGCCATGAAGGGGAGGAACCAGATGCTCTCTAAGGCCATTTCTGATGCCGATGTTCTGGAAAATTGTATGTAGGAGACACCAGGTTGCTGAGGGGTTTGGAAAGGTCTCATATTGTATGTTCTTTTATCCTGTGACATTATGAGAGTGAGTCTTACAAAGACTGCACAGATAGCTTGGAATGTGTGCATTGGTACACCACGAGTTTAGATCCATCATTCACAGTGTTTTGGAGTGCCTGCTGTGTGCCAGGTCTTGTCCTCACTCGGGAGTTGCAGTGGTGAGGCAGATAGCCAACATTCCTCTCCCTTGGAGCGGATGGTAAGTGGAGAGAGTCTGGAGTTGGCCAGGAGCTGGGGTCGTGACCCCCCTGGGCTGAAGATGAGGGACTAGGTAGAGGTTGGGCAGGGGGAGGACTTACTGGAATATGAAAGGGTGGGTTGTGGTTTTTGGGTTTTTTTCCCCAATTTACTCTTGGAAAGATTCTTAAATAGGCCTGTTAGAATCTCTTTAAAAATAAATGCTTTCACATGAGAGAATCAAAGGGAAAAATAAAATGTTAATACCAGTTCTGCTAGGTTGGAATTACGGGAATTTGTTGTTTACTCTATGATTTTACAGACGTTCTATATAGTGTCTATATTACTTATGTCAAAGATTCCCTGTCATGGTTTATGACTTTGTTCCTGGGTGCGACCTGCTTGAGTGGGTCTCATGTTTGCTGATGTCCACAAAGTCCTGGCCTGGGGACATTTACTGAGTCCCAGCCTCAGTTTTCCTACCTATAAATGAGCATAGTACTTGGCCCTGGCCTGCCCACTTTGCAGGGCAGCTGTCTGAATCAGAGGGGACTGTGAAAGAAAATATTTGGAAGTTTACCTCTCTCTGCAAAGGGAAGGGCCAGTGGACTAGCAGTGGTGACAGCAGCTAGGACACGATGTGAGGAGAGTCTGTGTGCAGGGAAGGGGGACGGGGCTGGTATTAGGAGAACTGCCTTGGCCACAATGAGGAGCAGTTTTTCAGGCCGTCCTAGTTCTCCGGCTCTCCTTGACTAACAGGTGGACACAACTCTGTAGGCTGTTAGGGAAATGACTTCAGTGAAAGACTCCTGTCAGCTCCTAACTACTGCCACACAGAGGGGTCTGTCCAGAAAGTATCAAGCCATGTACTATGAAAAACAGACATTTACCTAAGAAGATAAAAGAAACATTGTAGATAGAACAATGATGCTTCAGTCCCCTTCAAAGTAGGCACCTTGGGACTTCACAGATTTTTCCCAATCACCATCTGCTGCCCCATCATATTTTCCTGAATCTCATCAATGGTCTGAAATCTCTTCCCTTTCAAAGGTGATTTTAGTTTTGGGGAAGCCAAAAGTTGCAGGGCGCCAGGTTTGGGCTGTAGGGAGGCTGACTCACTTGGGTGATTTGATATTTTGCCAAAAAACTCTGCACGAGATGTGATGCATGAGGGGGTGCATTGTCGTGATGACGTTCCCAATCATCAGTTGCCCATAGCTGCCGACTTCTGAGTCATCTGAATAGTTTCTGCAAAGGAGTGTTCAGGCTTAATACAAAATTTAATGCAGATTTGTTGCTTTACTTATTTTGAATACAGTGGCCACACAGTACATGTGCTCAACGGTGTCTACTGACCCCCACTGACTAATACACTGAAGTTGTCATTGTTCACACATGCACATTCCAGTCCACTCTCTTTGGTTGCCAGGTTACATGGATGTCGCGCAAACTGTCCTTGTGATATTAACAATGGTTGGACTTTTTCCAGGCATACCTCATATTCATGAAACCCACATGCTCTGTGCTTGTAACCAAGGTCAAAAACAGGAAGTACAACCCCATTCCATTCCTCTTTAGTCTTTGGTCTATAGCCTCAGCAAGTGTTTGAAGCAACAGAGTTTGAAATCTTTTTTCTTTTTTTTAAAAAAAGATTTATTTTTATAGAGAGGGGAAGGGAGAGAGAAAGGGAGAGAAACATTGATCAGTTGCCTCTTACATATACCCAGCTGGGGACCTGGCCCACAACCCAGGCATGTGCCCTGACCAGGAATTGAACCAGTGACCTTTCAGTTTGCAGGCCTACAGTCAATCCACTGAGCCACGCCAACCAGGGCAGACTTTGAAATCTTGATTATTCATGGTAACTGACTCCTTCCATGGGTCATCTTGCCAAGTCTGGATTCCTAAAGAGTTGAAATTTACTGTCCCACTGTTCTTCTTTGACAGCAGCTTGTCATTTCCTCTCTTTCCTTGAACCCTGAACAAGGGGGAATATGGGGTCTTAGTGTCAAGTTGTAACTGAAAGTAAGTTCAGCTGCCTGCCACTACAAAAACCAACACTCAAGAGGCAGGTGCTGATGTGAAGAAAAGTTGTTTATTCAGATGCTGGCCATCTGGAAGATGGGGGACTCGTGTCTCAAAGCCCATCTCCACGTCTCAGTGGAGGCAGAGGTTTTTATAAGAGGGAGAGGGGACCAGAACAAAGAGATCAAGGGAAGGGGCTGAAAAGTTCTCAATGTGCAAATGAGCACAGACCATTCTGATAAGGCCAGTGGTGGTCCAATGTGTGTCATCCTGGTTTAGTCATCCTGGTTTTACATCTTCCAGCTTCACATCATCCTGGCTTCATGGTTGAAGGTCAACAAAACTCCCAGAGCTGGGATGCCTGAAGGTCAGAGTCTATCTTCTGAAGTTAGTTCCTAGGATTCTTATACAAACATACTGTTTACCTGCAAGCTACATATTAGAGTTAACACTTACAGGAACAATGTCAAAAGAATGGTGGGGTGGGTAACAATTTCCTAGTGTTACAATTTTCCACAATTCACAAAGTATTTGCAAACTGTGGGCTGGCTCTGTGATGGAGGAGGGTGTATGTCAGGTGACTCATGACCTAGTTTGTCTGTAGGGCACTGACTCTTCTCCCAGTCAGAGCTGTGTCAATTCCCTACTTTTCAATTTTCTTTTCCCTGCAGATGTCAAGCCTTCCAACATCCTAGTGAACTCCCGTGGGGAGATCAAGCTCTGTGACTTTGGGGTCAGTGGGCAGCTCATCGACTCCATGGCCAACTCCTTCGTGGGCACAAGGTCCTACATGTCGGTATGAACAGCGGGTTCCATTTTTTGAGCTTCAAGTCTGGACAGGGACAGGAGCTAAGTGGCTGGGTGCCTTTCCTGCGGAGCCAGAGCCTGGTTAAGGGATATGGGAGAATGATCGGTGAAGACCTGTGATCCCACCCTGAGGAGATGGTCTCCTCCTTTCATAGGGCTTGGAACATAATTGGGGTTCTGGGCCTCTTCTCACTAGAAGAGATTGTCCAATCACAGCCTGATCTATTGCTAGTACTCGGATTTTCCCAGAGCTTGGCTTCCATTCTGAAGAGATTGTGAGCTCCAGCTACTCTCTGGACACCTCTCTCTGATTGTCTTCAGAACTTCGAACCCGACAGACCTAGACATGGCCGCACCCCATATTGCCCCATCTTTCCTATTAGCAGTAAATGGCATTACTCTTTCCTTGGTTTCTCAAAGTAGAGACCTGAGCATCAGCCATTAACCTCCCTTCCCAGCTCTCCAGCTGCTGTGAGTCTATTAAGAATTGTTTCCTCAGGCCAGCCTCTTTTCTCCCTCTTCACTGCATGTCTCCCAGTTAACTGCTCCTACCTCTCACTGCAGCACACCTGGCATGTCTCCTGGCTGGAGTCTGTGCCCTAGCTGAGCTGATACCCCATCACGAAGGTCTACCCTCCTGCTTCCAGCTCTGGTGGTTCCCACTGCCACCAGAGCTCTGTGTGTGGCTGTGCCCATGCCATGGTAATAGTAGCTTGCTCTCTTCCCATTTCCATACACTGAGGTCTTTGGGGGAAGGGATAGGACCATAGGTGTCTGTTGTCCCTGGGGTCTGGCTCAGGGCCTGGCACATGGTGGGTGCTCAGGGAATGGTTGGTGAGTGGGTGAATATTTGGTTGACTGAATGGGTGGGAAATGGCTAGCATACTCCTCAGGGTGATTCAGAAAGGGGAGACTTGACTGGATGAATGCTGAGCAGGGCAGAGTAGAGGAGCGGTAGAGGGAGCCGGAGGTCCCTATGGAGGTGGATGTGCGTGCAGGCCTGGATTGCAGGGGCCGGGCACAGAGGCTCCGGGCATTTTGCATATGGGATGTTTTATGGGTTGTCTTTCAAGCATTTTCACATCTTGGAGTGACCGCATTTGATCTATGTAGTTATCCCAGGAAGTAAAGACTATTGTTCCCATTTTAGAGATGAGGAGATCTACTTTGAGGGAGGTTAAGTGAGCTGCTCACTTAACCTTGCACAGCCAAAATTGTAAGCTAGATCTCCTTCTTGCCGGCCAGTCTCTCTTTCCACAGCATGCCCTCACTCACTTCTTAGGGTGGAGGTCAGCTGCTCCTGGCCTCACTGCGTGGAAGTGCATGTCCGCATCTTCATTCCTTCTTGCCTGCTGCCTACGCCACCATGACTCTGGTCACTGTCAGTGTCACTCAGCCAATGCTGACCCACTTCTCCACCCTCCACTCCAGTGACTCACGATCTTAAGAAATGTGAAACCCCTGGGCCCTTCAGAACTTCTACTCTTTCCCTGCCATGCCCTCATTGCTTCTTTGCATGTCTAAAAACCGGGCTACTCAACTGCCAACTCTCAAATTCAAAATCAATTGACAGGCTCTGGGACTTACTGAATCCAGGGGTTTGTTAGTGGTTTGGGTTTTTGTGGTCATATGGTCAATTCCAAATAGTCCAGTTTTGGAGTTAGGGGAAAATCCTACAGGAGAAGTCATTGATGTCTAAATAAATGTGTGATGGTCAGAATAAAGATTTTTAAAATATAGTCCTTGAAATACCTGTGCTGTTTAGAATAATGCTTTTATATACACTATATATTTTTTCCTTCGCCTCTTCCCACCAACAACTACTCATATTTGTATAGCATTTTGCAACACACAACATACATTTTCATTTGCTTTGACCTTTCTAATAACCCTACTAAGAAGAGTGGGTATTTTGTTATTATTGTTGTTACCATCATCAGCATCCCCATTTTATAGGTGAAGAAATGGAGGCTCAGGATCAGGTAGCTTAGAAGTCCCAGAGTTTAGATATGAACCCAGGTCTTCTGACCCCATATCCTCTGCCTTCTCTGCCATTCATGTTATCCAAGAACAGTGAGTCAGTGGTAGAGCTGGGCTTAGAACTTCTTTCTGTCCACAGCACCATCTTATTCATGATCCATCTACCAGAAGCTTCATGCTTCAGACTCAAGTAACAAGATGAGTCTCGTCCTGGGCTCTGGACAGGCTACCCCACACATGCAAGACACTGGCCAGGCTGGCAAAGCTGGAACCACAGCTGAGGCGACAGCCAGGGTTCAGATGGGCTGGATGCTGTTTAGGTTACAGGGGAGACAGAGAACTGAGGAGGGATCAGAGCCATGGGACCAGCTAGGACTTGGTAAACATATTATTTGGGGATAGGCAAGAGGCCAAATTTAAGAGGTTAGTGGAAATCTTAAAAAGGGATTTGAATTCTGGAGAGAGAAAATGAAATCTATCAGCAGATCCAGGGATGGGAACTGTGGGGAAGCCCACTCCCCTGCAGTGCAAGCAAGTCTCAATGTGGCAGGAAGTCCTGAGATTTCCTTTGAGCATCCGTGGGGACTCATCCATCCTCCTTTTGTGTGGGCCCAGGTTAGCTCACAGGTGATTGTAACCATTTCTGTCTCTCCCGCAGCCAGAAAGACTCCAGGGGACTCATTACTCAGTGCAGTCGGACATCTGGAGCATGGGGCTCTCTCTGGTGGAGATGGCGATTGGGAGGTATCCCATCCCTCCTCCAGATGCCAAGGAGCTGGAGCTGATGTTTGGGTGCCAAGTGGAGGGAGATGCGGCTGAGACACCACCCAGGCCAAGGACCCCTGGGAGGCCCCTTAGCTGTGAGTGTCCTGGTGTGCCTCAGCTTGGAATGTGGGGGTCCCTTACTTACTGTTGGGCATTTCTGAAGAGCTCATACTCTGTACCCTCTCCCAAGACTGGTTCCCTTTCTCTGGGTGCCAGGCTGGGACTGGGGGAAGCAGAGCTGAAGTCTCCAGGTAGGTGTAGGAAATTACTGTTACAATTGACACTTCTACCGTTTGTTGCGTGCCTACTGTGTTCCTGGCACTACACTTCGCACTTACACGCATTATTTAATTTTTGAAAATCATGACATTTTCCTTCTTTTTCTTTTAAGTACTTATTTTTAATGAGATAAAATTCAAGTAACTTAAGATGCACATTTTAAAGTGTTCAGTTCAGTGGTTTTTAGGATATTCCTCCATGTATCACAGCTATTGCCACTATGTAATTCCAGAACATTTCCATCACCCCAGAAAGGAACCTCATCTCCATTAGCATGCACTCAGAGGTCCCACCACCCCATCCCAGGCAACCACTAATCTGTTTTGTATCTCCATGCATTCGCCTATGATTATAATCTCCATTTTAGATATGAGGAAACTGAGGCACAGAGCACTTGACTTGCTGGGGCCACATATACTTGTAAGTGTCAAGCTTGATTCCAAGGTGGTGAGCTCTGTGCAGCCCTGCCCACCTCTGAATGTAAATACTGTGAAACAAAGCACACACTCAGAAGCTTCTGACCCAGCTGTCTTCTTTTAATATAGTCCCTGCGAGGACAACCCTGTCTGATCTGGGAGACATGGCTGGCCTTCACCCTTCTGAGGCCCGCATGGGAGAGAGCATGTATGAAAAGAGAAGCATTGAAGGGGCTGGTGGCTGTGGCCCGTGACTCTGGGGTGTAAAAGGAAAAAACCCAAGTTCAGGGAGATTTAAAACTAAGTTTTTTAGTTGGTTAGTATCATCTCATTTGTTTCTCTCAATATAAGGAAGGGAGAAAGGGCACATGTAATTATTATCTCTACTTTATACAACTCAAAACTAGGCCCAGTGGCAATTGATTTGCCCAAGGTCAAAAACTTTGGATGCGGCAGAGCCCAGATTAATACCACAGCCGGCTTACTCTGGCCTTTGGTGTCCCCTCTGTTCTGGCCTGATCTGTGGCTGCTCTGCCTCCATCATCCACTACCCTATTCTGGTCCCTGGGGTCCATGCTCAACATCTAGCCTCTTATTGGCAAATACCATCCTTTCTATTTCTGAGAAGTGTGTTCTTCTTTCTTTTTATAAAAACTGTAGCTTATGGAATGGACAGCCGACCTCCCATGGCAATTTTTGAGTTGTTGGATTACATAGTCAATGAGGTAAGTACTGCATGGCTTCCTTCACTGTAGAATCTGTTTGCTCCTCATAAGAAAAAACTCAGAGCTGATTTGATTGGGAAACCCATGGGTTGTTCCCACAGTGTGGGCTGCTAGGGCCTCAGGATTCGTGGGTTCTACTTTGTGCATCATGCTTTTGGAATCAAGTGGCTGGTTTAGAGACTGCAGCAATTGTCTAGGGATTCCCCAGAGTTCATCTTCAGGTAACTCTGAGTCCCTCCTCTTTTCGCAGATTCAGCAGCCTCCACTTTATCCACTTAAATTCTCATTCCTTCATTCACCAAGTATTTCTTGTGCACTTACTATGTGCTGAGCATTGTAGGAATGAGCTGGGGCTCCAAAGATGGAAAATCCAAAGTCCTTAGTCTTGAAGACTCTTAGGTTGTGTAGGGGAGGCAAGGCAAATGCATTTTTAACTGCAATATTAGGTTTTGTCTTGTGCCATTAAAAAGCAACAAACATAAAAAAGCGATAGTGTAGAAATAATGTATGCATATATAAAGTCTGGAAAGTAATACACTACAGATGGAATTATAGGTGATTAAAGGTTGGTTTTTTTTTTTTTTTACTTATTGCTGTTAACTGACTTTCATACAAGGAACACGTATTATTTGTAAATATGTATAACAGTTATGTTTAAATTTAAAAAAGGGATCAAGGGAGGAAGACACTGATAAACATTCATCAAATTTGGGTGGGTTTGAGGGGAATGGGAAGCTGTGGACAAGCTCCATGGTTGCTCAGAGAGGGTAGGGCAGGGCTGGAGGAGCTGGGCTGGGGCTCAGGACAGGATTTCAGATGACAGGGCCAGCACCCCTGGTCTCAGGAGCAGCATGGTTAGTGGACCAGGGTAAGCTGCTGGCATGTTTGGGTGGCAGTTGAAGGCCCCCACTCAGCCAGGATGCATGGTAGAGGGCATCACCCTGTTCTCGTCCTCCTTCTCAGGAGACTAGTGGAGTAGCTTTTCGTACTTCCTTACTGCTCTCTAAAACCAGATCCCAAAAGGCTCAAAAAGGTCCCCTTTTCTATTACAAACTCAACGGGGAAGATTCTGGTAACCACCGACTAAACCACTGGGTCACTGTCTGCCGGGGAGGTTAGCGACCTCTCTCTTCTGACTGTACAGTGTTAGGCTAAGCACCATGGGCCATAGAAAAGAAGGTCAGGATCTGATCGTGGCTGCTTTTGGACTTGAGGAAGGCCCTGTGTGTTGCATTTGTGGTAGTCAGGAAAGCCATCCCCTACTGCTGGGACCTAAGCTGAGGGATGCTGGGTGGGAGCCACAGTAAAGGAAGAAATGGCCTGAGGTTATATATGCAGCTGCCAGTCACTTAGTGTGCACTGCTTCCATATTTTCACATTTTCCTAACCAGGTCTCAGCACTGCTCAGGTAGGTCAAATTGGTTTTGTTATGCTCTTCATACAGGTGAGGAAACTGAGGCTCCAGGATGAAATCTCAGGTTCTTCCCACCTACTGCTATTCCTTCCTTTCCACCTACTTCTCCCAACTCACAGCCCTCTGCCTGGGCTTCCCAGGAGGCTGGGACACATGGTGACCGGCGCAAGCACCTCACACTCTGCTGGCACACAGTCTCTCCTTTGCCTGGCCCCCTCCTACTCAGGGCTAGCCTGGCCTCTGGAGGCCAACCTGCTGGTTTTGCCCTTGAATGTTCCCTTCATATTCCCTGAGCAGCAGGGATGATCTGCAGGGTGGGCCTAAGATCTTGGTTTTAGTCGTAGACCTCAGATCAGGCTTATGCACCTGCTATTCTCATAAGGTATCAGGGGAAGAGAGTTAGGCTGGGCTTTTTTGATAGTGTCAGTATTTAATTTTTAGTCTCAAATTACTTGTTTATTTGGGCAACACATCAAAGCAATGGCATCCTGGGCAGGGTCTGGAGGTAAGCTCACAAGGAAGCTGCACACAGCCCCAGCACAGGTCACAGGGGCGGTCACGTTTCCTGAGGAGCTGTGTGGAACACAGGATACTGCAGGGCCTTGTCCTGTGTAGCCCTGTGTGATGTCCACCGTGCACCCTGGGAAGGTGAGAGCTGTGGCCAGTGTTCTTGCTCTGATGCCTGCAAACAGCTTCATTCCTGGAGTGTAAGTGCAGCTAACATTATTCCAGACCCAGCCCTCTGCCAGTTAATGTTTTATTAACTTTGCTCTTTCCTTCGGGGCTCAGAAAGGGGATATATATTTTATTAGTTAGCTAGTTAGCCTTATGTGACTTCCACAAGTGCTGTCTGGGCTGGGCTATACCTGGTGGTTTGCATATGCCTGTAGCTGCTGCTCTGAGTAACTGCTGGTTGTTTGCATGCCACACTATCTGTTGTAGAGTGTGAGCTGGAAAGGGTCATTAAGCCTTCCTCATTTCATAGAAAGGTAAACTGAGGCTTAAGAGGAACAGTGATCTGTTCAGAAATTAGCTGAGTGGTAGAACACTGACCTGGCTCCCGTTCTAACTGTGGTTTGAGACCAGCGGTTCTACCAGAGAGACCCAGCAGCCAGCCACTGGCCTCCCACCCCTGGCCTTTACTGGACTGGGTAAGAGCAGCACTCCTCAGAAGGGGTTGGGGAGGAGAGACGGCTGGGGCAGGAAGCCCAGTGTTTATGTGTTGACATGTATTTGCAGCCTCCTCCGAAACTGCCCAGTGGAGTATTCAGTCTGGAATTTCAAGATTTTGTGAATAAGTGGTAAGTTGGCTCCTTGTTATATGGAAGAGTACCCCATTTTTATCAGGCTTCCCACCCCATCTTGGGGAGCATGTCTTTGCTCTTTCCCCTCCTCTGATCCTGTTGGCTGCTGCACTTCTTAGGTGACCTGACAATTGCAGTTGGTACAGTAGCTGCTGCTCTTGGCCCTTGCTCTACAGGGACTGGTATATTGCCTTTTGATCTTACTTAGTTCAGCAGGCATTTACGGACCTGCTGTGGGCATGGCATTGTGCTAAGAACAGGAAGGTGAATAAGGCTCAGGCACTCCTCAGAGCCTGCAGGGTTTGGGGAGAACAGGCAGGTAAACATAAGTAATTGGAGTTAGAAGCAGCTTCAGGCAATAGCTCTCATGTTATCTTTTTTTCTTTAAGCTTAATAAAAAACCCTGCAGAGAGAGCAGATTTGAAGCAACTCATGGTAAGTCCACTTATTTCAGATTCTGCTTCATCTGTTTATCTCCTCTCTCTGTCATCCATCTAGTACTTCCTGAGTCCATTCCCTGCTCTGCCTTGACCAGGGCAGTGCAGCTGACCCTTCTACAGGATCCCAGATATCTGTCTCCTCTGTCCTCCCATCAGTTTAAAGGAAAACCTGGGGTGGCCCTGCAGCCCTGGTTCCAGGCAAAGAAGGGGCCAGCCCACCCCTTCACAGGGACAGGGTCTTTTTCTCATACTGACCAGCTCACTTTACATTTTGCGCCCTCCCCACGCTACTCTCCACTTGCTTCCTCGTTTGGTGGTGGTGATAGAGGGCAGTTGGGAAGTAATGCTATAAATACCTGCGCTTATGTCTCCTGTAGAGCCTGTACAGTGTAGCATGCACTTTGAAGCCCATCAGTTCCTCTGTTCCATCTAACAGTTGGAGGCACTGACGGCAGAGCCACTGTCCCCGTGTCACAGCTGGAGAGAGCAGGCCCAGGGAAGTGAGCCAGTTGCCCACGGCCTCACAGCTGGTGTAATTGGCAGAGCCAGGCAGAGGTGGTCTTTTGTCCAGCAGCTCGTTCTGCTTTCCTGGTCCCCACTGCTGCTCAAGAGCAGGCTCCAGGAGCTACTTCCAAGTGGCACAAGCTCTAGACCTACAGGATTCTTGAATTGTCCTTCATGGTGATTTTTTAACATTATTTCCTCTTTCCTCACATGTAGGTTCATGCTTTTATCAAGAGATCTGATGCTGAGGAAGTGGATTTTGCAGGTTGGCTCTGCTCCACCATTGGCCTTAACCAGCCCAGCACACCAACCCACGCAGCTGGTGTCTAAGTGTTTGGGAAACAGCAAAGAGCAAGTCCCCTGCCCAGTGGCGTGTCACGTTGCTTTTGGGCCTATTTCCCATGCCTCTGTTCAGACATGCATTTTACATATGACAAAGGATGAAGAACACAGCATGTGCCAAAATCCTATTCGTGTCATTTTTAATACAACTGTCTTTATTCTTATTATTATTCCCCTAAGTGGATTGGCTTTGTGCTTGGGGCTATTTTTGTGTATGTTGATGATCAAATCATGCGCAACATTGAATTACAGTGAAACTTTGGTGACTGTGGGTAGTCATTTTTACTTAAAATTGCACTGCTCTCCCCTCACCGTGATTGGCTGGCCAGCCACCTGTATTTTGGGGATTCTTTGACACTTGGTGGTACTTCATTCTTGCCAGGCGTACTTTCTCTACTTGAGGAAGGAGCCTTGTAAGATCCTTCACAGGCAGTGCATGTGAAGCATGCTTTGCTGCTATGAAAATGAGCATCAGAAAGTGTATATCATGTTATTTTATTATGTTTTTGCCTTTGGTGTAGAATTCAGCAATTTCCATCAAAATCCAGTCAGAGCCCTTCACTGCCATGATAATTGGGGCTTCACCAGTCTATCTACTCTGATGATTTGTAGACTTCTGGTTGTATTTCTATATTTATTTTTAAATATTCTGTGTGGGATATTTAGTGGTATATGTCTCTTTAAGTTAGGATTAGTGTTTCTAAAATGGTGGAGTTACTTTGAACATTACAAGTGTATCAAGGCATTAAAATGTATGAGATTTATCTTTCCCCAAATCCAAATACTGATGCTATTGTAAACAACAGTGTGTATAGTGCCTAAAAATTGTATGGAAATCCTTTCAACAACTTTAATCCAAATGTTTAACAAATCTAATCTCTTATTCTAATAAATATACTACCAAGTTAAAAGGCTGAAAGATATTTCTACTTTTGAGTTAGGATATTCAGTGTTTCTAATACACAAGAAATCAGATGATTTAACCAAGCATTATTGTGAAGGGAAAAGATAAAGACAGGAAGGCGGCTGGAAGGTGGAAATGCCACTGTGAGGACAAATTTGGTGCTTTGGACTAATGAGGCTTCCTGAAATTCCAGCCTTGGACTTTGTCCAGTTCTTCTCAGCAAACACCCTTATCTGTGAATCTTCTAACCACCTTTCCTGTGGACCTGTGAACAGATCCTACCTATTATATATGGGAAAAGCAGTAGGTGGGGGTAGCCAGCATGCTCACAGGAGCACCTTGCTGGTGGTCAGCACTGCCTGGCTGGCATTGCAGCCTCCCCTGCGACAGTATGTCTGTGCTGCTTTACTCCACTGTGCACTGGTTTCTCCTTTCACTAGTTACACTGAACTACTCCTTTCTGGAGAGGAGGAATGTGCCTGATGCCAGTTTTGTTATGGCTATGAGGTGGCAATGAGGTCACAAAAAACAAAGCCAGGTCTCAGCTGGCCACTGATACCCTTTCCTTCTTTGCAAAGTGACTTGGAATTTCAGGTCTGTGTCAGGCTGCCTGGTCAGCACCTCTTCAGACTTCTTCTTTGAAAGGACAGATTATAGAAAGCCAAAGTAAATATGTATTAAAAAAATAAAAGGCCTACTTTCAAATTACAAAGAGAATTTGGTGCCCTGGCTGGTGTGGCTCAGCTGATTGAGTGCCAGCCTGCAAACCGAGAGGTTGCCGGTTTGATTCCCAGTCAGGGCATGGGCCTGGGTTGTAGGCCAGGTCCCTAGTTGAGAGCGAGTGACTCTCGCACGTTGATGTTCCTCTTCCTCTCTTTCTCCCTCCTTTCCCCTCTCTCTAAAAGTAAATAAAATCTTTATTAAAAAAATAAAAAGAAAATTTGTGTAAATCTGAGCAGGTAGGTCCACTCTGGATCTACCAGAGCTTGGAATATAGCCAAGATTTTTCAAACTGGTCAGTGTTGTAGATACTGCTGCTTCAGTTAGTCAATTTTTTCTTGTTGTGAGGCTAGAAAGGACAGATATTAATCTGTCCTAAGTCAACAGTCTTAACATACTTTTTGGTACACATTCACGCTAAGGTTTAACACCCACACCTTCCTGATCCTATCTTTTGCTAACAGAAAATGCAACCACTACTGAGAATGTCTCATTAAACTGGGCAAATTCCCCCTAAGGAAGGAAGGAATGGTGTAACCTGGAGTCTAAAATCTAGATCTGAACGTTTTCATACTCATTATCTTTTGAGGGCTGCTTTTAAATTCTCTCTTCACATCCAAAGATACAACATTTTGAGAGGCAGATTTTTCCCCCCAGTAATTACTTAGAATTATCTCATTCTCAAGAAAGATGTTCTCTGAATCATTCTTGCTGTGTTTTAAGTCCCTCATGCCAAATTCCTTCCTCAAACTTCTGAGACAGTAGTTGGATTTTTCAGTATCTCATTAGCATCTCACAGAGTAACCTGTAAAAATTAGTAGAGCAGGTACGAATACCCTCATTTAACAGAAAAGCAAGAATTCAAAGATGTGAGAGGGCAAGTGAACGGACAGTGGAGCTAGGATTCATAGCCGGTTTTCTAGCTCTTACAAAACCCTTGCTTGTATTTTAAATTAGACCCCAAAATATATACCTTGATGCTTTTCCTTGATGCAAAACTATCTTCACACTGTGTTTTCCAAGAAACATGTTCATTTAAACTTCCTGTGAGACTAGCTCAAAATAACATCAATGAAACGTTGATTAACATACCCATGTTCTCTTCTGGAATAGTTACATTCTCTTCTGGAACAGTTACATAAGAAGTTCTGCTTGAGGAGGTTCTTTGTGTTTGGCTTTTCTGTTGCATGGACAGGGCAAGTTACTTTTATAAAGTTAAATATCTAACCAGTACATTCAGTGAGAAAGAGTATGCAGAAATCTCAACTTCAAAAACCAAGTTTCAACAACACTTATTCTGTAACTATCATCTCTTTATTATAAAAATCCAGTCTCCCAAGCATAGTGATTCCTTCATTAATGACACATTTCCTTCTAAGTCCAGAAGTGGGTCTTAAACCATCCTGCTGCACTGTTTTCCCCAGGTGAGGAACTGATCTGTTTCCTTGTTGCTATCTGGAAACCAGCAGCTGCATGATGGCTACTCATCTAATTCATTTCTAAGCACGTTATCAGTGATGTTGCAACCCAGATGTGATGACAGCCACATGAAACAGTCTGTAGTGGGCAGTGTTTTAGAACGTCATTGAGAGATGTCAGCTTGTGCTCTCAAGTGACCTTCTGTCCTCCTGTCATCTTTCTTTCCTAGACTTTGTCTATGCTTACAAGGATTAAAGGGTATGCAAACAGCCTTAAATTGGTTTGCTTACAAGAGGCATTGTTGATTGCAAAGGCTGGCTTGTACTTACACTCTGCCCTTTTGGCAAATGTCAGACTTTCTCAATAGCACTTCAGAGGAAATCTTCTGTTTTGAATACAATTACTGGATCTGAGCAGAATACAGACACAGCACCACCCATATTGCTCAATGCTAAGACATTGCATCTTTGCTTTTCTATGTGTTACTAATTTTTGTTAAAGCATTCTGAAACTTGAATTATTGATGGTACCATTTTTACAAGTACACATCCTTCTAAAGTTCTTGCTTCTCTTTAAAGCAGACCATAGAGGGCCCATTGCAAGAATTTTTGCAAGAAAGTTTCAGAGACTTGGAAATTTAATTTGTACAACTTATCCTGGCTCTTTCCCCACTTCAGGAATCTGATGATTCTTCTTCCTCTTCCTCCTCCTCCTCTTCTGTCACATGGCTCCTTGTGCCCAACTCCAGTGCAGTTTGGTTGATTGATGCTTCATTGTCTACATGCACCAACATCTGCTTAAGCCAAGGACATTATGGATTAGTAGGAAGGACACTGGCCTCAAAACAGCAAATTTTAAAAAATGGTTTAAACCCAAATTTCAATTGTGTATTCATTCCCAGTATTTACCACTAAGAGGTATGACCACATTCCTGTTTCTCTAAATTCTACCTCAGCCTCCCCTCCAACCTGCACTGCTAAAATGGGAGGTTAAATGCCCAAGATTTGACAGAATGTTACCTGATTTACAAACATGGTCCTCACATAAGAATTACACTGGCTTAGATGTACTTCCAAATGGATTTAAAAGGCTTCACACACAACTGGGAGAACTGTTCAAATATGGTATATTTAGAAAGATGATGATTTTACTGATTTAAGTGAGTGCATTTGGCAAGATGATGATACGATAAAGCCTAGAACTCAACTTTTCAGCATCATGTTTTGTAGTTGAAGCCACATTATTTCTGAACCCCAAACTAACTTATTCACAGAGCAAGAGGTCTGACATGTTCCTGCAAAGATCTCTACTCTCCTGTGTTCATTAAAATAACTTGAGAAGAGAGATGGCTAGGATGGTATAGGCAATATAAGTACCTAATTAATAAATCAATCAAGGTGTAATCAGCTGGGCTGTTCTTGCCTAAAACAGTAATACTGAAGAGCCAGTTTATCAAACTAGAAAATTCTTATCAGTACTTCCCAGAGTCCTTTGGGCTTCATAATATTATAATTTACAACAATTTTTTATTTCCAAGCAGCATGACAGCAGAATGGATCTTGCATTCTCTCCCTACTCCAACATTTTATTAAGCTTACATCATGTGGCTGTTCTTGAGCAGCTTGAGAAGACAGCAACTCATCCCCTCTTCTAGAACTAATCATTGATTGGAGGGCCAGTTCTTCAACCTAGAAAAGAAGAGTTAAGGACATGTTCCTTACTATTTCACTAGGCTACTGATGTGGGACAATTTTACGGCCCATGCTTTAAAAAGTTGGCATCATGAGAGGAAGTAAAAGCAGTGTGCTCTCTCTGCAGCTCTAGAGAGCAGGGTAGAGCTCTTAAGCTTTCCCTGGTTTCTAAGGACATAAGCAAAGAAAGCCTCCAATCCCCTTCCCCTGAGTATAGAGGTGCTGCAACTGAGCCAAGGCTTCCACTCCCCCAGACCTCGAGGCTCTGGGAAGACAACAAAAGTTGAGTCCTTAAAAAAAACCAAGTGTCATCTTCTGATTCCACAGAGGGCAGATGCCTTAGGTTTGAGCTCATCTGTCTAATAATGAGAAACTGAAGGCGGGAATGAAAAATAGAAATGTTCTCAGAAACATAAAGAAATTTAGGCTTTGGAGTTCATTATCAAAAGACACACGTTAGGTACCTGTATAGGTACTGTGGTGCGATGAGAACGTGAATAAGTGTGGGCAACACAACTGTCCTGAGAAAAAGTGCTTATTATTTTGATATGTCATAGTTGTGTTCAATGCTTTTCAGCTTACAATGGGCTTCCATAACCCTCATCTCATTTGGACTTAAAGATCCTGAAGAAGGGTGCTGAGCACGAAGTATCAGGATCATCGCACTGGGGCTGAAGGGAGTGAATGGTAACGCACAGGCCTGGGTAATGGTCCTGGTGGGCCTGACTCTCTAGTCCCAGTCAAGGCTGTGGAGTCAGTAATGGCTCCGGAAAGAAAAACTACTGCGAACTCTGCGACAAGTCGCTTCTCCTGGGCCTCGTTGCCCTTCTTTGCACAACGGGAGAATGTGCGAGTCTCTCTTCTACTTTTGCAATACTAGAGCTGTTTCAAGTGGCAACACAAGCCAGGACACAGTGGCTAGCAAAAGCTGCAGGAGCTTGAGAGGAAGAGGTCGGTGGGCGGGGAAGGTCGACCTTCTTGTGAGAACCGCCTGCATTTCCCGGAGGTCTGGTGTGGGAATGAACTCAGCAAACGTGCAGATTAGATGGCTGGGCCTCAACCTACTACGTGATCAAGGTTCAGAGCTGGGCCCATAACCTCAAAACAAGTTCACCCGGGGCTTGTAAGCCACCAAGTCAGTGCCCCAACCGCCAGGTGAGAGAGACCGCCAGGTAGAGCCAGGCTCGGCGCAGTGGCAGGGGGGCAAAATGATGGGGCGGGTGGGGGCTGTGGGGTCACCTTGAGCCGATTCAACTGGTCGTGCAGTGCCGCCTTCAACCGGAGCAGGGTCTCCTCCTCCTTGCGCAGCTCCTGGAGCCTGCTGAGCATCGCGTCTTCTCACGCAGCCCAGTCAGCTGGGCGCTCGGTGATGATGTCACCAGCCCGGTGCTCCGGAAACGGAACCATAGGCTGACTGCACGTGGGGCAGGGCACTTCCTGCCCGCTCCGGCCCAAGGACTCCGACGTTTTCAGTAGCTAAACCTAGATTAGAATCAAAATTCCTAGAGCGCAGGCTGTTGGTACCGTACAGAATTGGGAAATGAAAATGCTGTATTGTTTCCAATGCCTCAGCTGAACAGTACGCGCTGTAGCGCACTTTTAGTATGTTGCAGTGGTTTTTAAAAATTGATTTGGGAAACGTTAACCTATTGTTCCACTTAATCATGCATTCAATGGTTGATTCTGGTATGTGCCCCAAGGACCACCGGCAACCTTGGTGTATGGGAACCACACTCGAACTGAGTAACTGACCTAAGGTTAAGTGGTTAGCATTCAGCACAGGCAGACTCCCTACAAGTTGGTTTTTGGGAGCAATAACTCCTAGTTCCATCAACTTCCCGAGGACAACTTAAGTGAGCATGAAAATAAAGCCTCCAACAAACTGGGAGATAGTGCCTTCACATGCTAGAACGCTATCTCTTGAATATGCAATTAGATTATACATCACCCTTGCTATGGATTTGACTATCAATAGGAAGGGAGGGGGGGAAGTCCTGACTTGAAGTCAACTCTAGGATGACATTCAATGATAAAAGCTTTAGGAAAAAAACATGCTGTGAGTACATTCTTGACCAATATATTCCCTAGTAAAACTGAAAAATACTGGCACTCTTTTGTTTCTAAGAGCCAAAATATCAAGGGTGGCAAGCATATCCTCCAACAGCATTGTCACAGGTTCAACAAGAACACTTCTCTGAGGAAACCATGTTTCTTACTGCTGCATCTCAAAATATGCATTGATTACACCCTTGTATTTCCTTAAGGTTTTTTTTTGGGGGGGGGGGAAGCTAAATTCTAACAGTTTCTGTGTATTTCTGAGACAAGTCTTTTAACCATCATCTTTCCCAAAACACTGCTTACAAAATGCATTGGACTTTGTATCTGGATATATGAAGCATCCCTCCTTCCATTCAACAGCATGGATTTTGTATAAATCCAATGATCCATTTTAGACCAGACTGTAACAAATGAATGGCTAGGGTTATGGAGAACAAAGTGTCATCAAAAACAATTGTAACCAAGATTCACACAACAGATGCAACAAGCCATGTTTCTCACTGCCTCTGACATATTTATTCAAAACTAGCTGTCCATAGTGATTTGACCTTTATGGAATAAACATTAAGTTTATGCTGCAGGCTTCTTTTCTTCTGTGGTGGGTTTCTTTTCCGCAGGCTTCTTCTCAGCTGCTGGTTTCTTGGTAGCTGCAGCCTTTTTCCCCACCAAAGGCTTCTTCTGCTTCTTAACGCCAACAACCTTCTTTCCTTTCTTCCCTACCACAGGCTTCTTGCCTGGAACCCCCTTCTCATCTGATTTGGCTTTTAGTGCCGCCGCTGCTCTATCCACCCGGAGCTTGTGCTGCAACAAATCAGGAAGAAAATTTTAAAAAATCACATCTTTCTAAAAACTTACTGTATCTGCAAAACCCAAATTATTGCTTACATTCCTGGCCTGGCGAAGAATAGTGTTCCGGCGCATGGTCTTTGCATATGGGTTTAACTTCAACATGATTCTCAGATTTTTCAGTGGATTCTTCTTTAGCACTCTACGATGAATCTTCTTGCTATAAAAAGATAGACACTGTATTAACATTTTATTCCATTAGCCACATTTTAAAAAATTCTCACTCAGGGGTATGCTTTAAAAACAAAATGACTTGAGGAGAGAAAAAGCAACTGGCTGCCGCCTCCCATACACACCCCGACCAGGGATCAGACCTGCAACCTTTTGGTGTATGGACTGACACTCGATTAACTGAGCCACCCATCTGGGGCTAAGTTATCCACATTTAAAAAACCAATTATACTGAGGTTGGGGCAAGAATTATTACAAATAGTACAACTTTACCGTGGTGCTCGGAGGGCTCTTTGGATCTCTGGGCTTTTCAAGATTCTGCTAAGGTCTGTATTGAGCATCTTGTGCATGGGAAGGCTGGAAAAAAAAATCAAGAAAATGTTGGAAACAGATGCCCAATTCTTATTTCTTATGTGATTAAAAAGAACCTCAACACAAGTTAAATGGTTAACCATTTGAAGCTCCCCAAATTAAATTAAAATTTCCAACTACACTATCACTCCTCAGAGCATCTCACCATTTCAGCATATTGCATCTGTATATAAAGGGAAATAGCAATAAAACACAATCCATTATTTTGAAAACATGAAAACCAATTCTGAATATAAAGACACTCACTTGTAGTTACTCTTCAGGGAGGCCGCTTTACGCCAAGTGCCATACAGATCATCTAACTTGCGGAAAGCACTTTCAGTCCAAATGCAGAAACGGCCCACATGCCCACCAGGAGCAAGTTTCAAAATGTTCAGTTTGCTTACATTAAGCAGAGTAATTCCTTTGAAAGGGAAAGGAGTTAGGGCATGTGTATTTCAACAGAAGAAATACAAATTGTCTTGATAGCGTATGTATCACATAAGATAACTGAGAACTACCATTAATAATTATGAAGTTCCAACCATTGATAGTGTACTCATTCAGCCAAGAATCAGACATTCCACAAATCATGTGTTTCAGAAACACGGACCATGAAGTGGAATCTCATCATGGTAAAAGTTGAGTAAGTTTGCATAGTTTGGGCTATCAAACATGTAAAAGTAAAAGCATTACCAGGAATGTTTCTGAAGGCTTTGATGATACCATTGTCCTCATTATAAATGATGCAGGGTCCCCTGCGCTGGATACGACGACGGTTTCTCATTTTGCCCTTGCCAGCTCTCATTCGCTGAGAGGCATAGACCTACAAAATGAGGTTTAGTATTCTGATTAAGATGATCCCTGTAATAGATCTTCAGATTTAAAAACGACTTATAGGCATTGGTATACCATATAGCCTAGGTGTGCAGTTAAGTAGGCTACATTTCATCTTTGTTTAAGCAGAGTCACATGATGATGAAACCACCAAACAATTCCTTTCTCAGACTGTACCTATCGCTAAAGCAGCTCATGACTATAATATGGTTCCTGAGTACTTGTTCTCATATGTAATAATATCTAAGACTTGTAGTTAATACTGCCCTTCAATCTTTTTAAAAAAGAAACTGATATTTTAAAAAGAAAGAATCAGAAATATCAATCTGTTGTTCTGCTTATGGATGCATTCATTGGTTGATTCTTGTATGTGCTGACTGGGTAGTGAACGTGCAAACTTGCAGGAGTATCAGGGCAACATTCCAACAGAGTTAACCCAGACATGACAGCAATGTTTTAAAAATCAAATTCTGACAAATTTGTGTGAAGGACTAACAAATTGCCAATGTGTTCATTAAACCTACCTTTTTGATATCATTCCAGGCCTTTAGCTTCTTAAGAAGCAAAACAGCCTCCTTGGTTTTCTTGTAGCTTTCAACTTTATCTTCAACTACCAAGGGAAGTTCAGGAACTTCCTCAATACGATGACCTGACAAAGCCAATTAACACTGACCTGGTTACTCTGAACCTTTTGAAAAATTGAGAAACATTTTACATAACCCACAAAAACAAAATGGCATACAATTTGCCAAATCAGAACTTCCACAAATATCATGTGTTTCAGAAACACGGACCAATTAAGTGGAATCTCATCATTTTGAAAGTTGAAAATATAATAGGCAACATGAAGTTTAAGTGAAAGTTTTCCAATATACTAAATCATTGTATTTGAATTACTTCCATGTTACACAGCATTCACTAATGACTGATTTGTCAGACTGAAACACAACTAATATTTAGTAGTAGGACACTCAGACACTCTAGGATGAACACAATTTACACAGGTTATTATTAACATGAATGAAAAGGTTCAGGTGAAGGAAAAAAGGGTATTCTGTATCACTCCTGTAATACAAAATATATCACAAACCTTTAGACATGACCAGTGCTGGTAAGGCCGAGGCAGCTAGAGCAGAGCATATGGCATATCGCTTCTGGGTTGTGTTCACTCTGCGGTGCCAACGGCGCCAGATTTTGGTTGGTGCAAACATGCGGCCCCCACGACACATCTATTTTTCTTAGTTAAGAATCACATTTCTCAAATGTTAGAAATTTAAAAAGGTTATGTCTTGCTCAGTAAGAATTTTCGTCACCCTTCTGAACCAGCTTACTGACAGCAGGCAACTGTCGCTGAGAACAGAGTAAGACGCAAATTACGACATCATTGCAAGTTAAACTTTCTAATGTCAAGCTCCTGTTAGATTCTTCCATATTTCTAATCTGCCTACAGTTACCTGGACACTACTAGTATTTTGGACAAAAATATTTTCAAACTAACATGAATAAACCAGGCCCAGCCTGCTAAATTCTGTGCCAAGTGACAAGTAGTTAATGACAAAAAAAAAAAAAAAAAAAGAAAAAGAAAAAAAAAAGGATACGTTTCCAAAAGCACCCTGGCCAGAACGATGAGTTCCACCACCTCGAACTCTGGGAATTCGAGCCACAGCTCTGCCAGTACCCCAAGACTCAGCACTGGTTTGATGTCCTGAAATTGCAAAGAAATAAAAAGTTTTAGCTACCCAACCATATCAATGTGACAATTGTGCATGGTTGCAAACAGCATCAGAACATCCAGGAAAATCATCTGATTCAGAAACACGGACCAATGGAGTGGAATTTCATCACTGCTGTCAAGCAGCTCTTAAAACATTAAACCATGAAAGATCTAAAACCATACCTGCCAATTCACTGACAGCATAGGGCTGTCTATTGTTTTTGCGCAAATTGGTGTGAACGAAGTTCACAATATCTGGTCGAATGGGAGCCTTGAACACAGCAGGCAAAGTGACATTTTTGCCAGACGATTCCCCCTTTTCGGAGTACACTGATATCAGTGGACGAGCACACGCCTGGGAACAAGGAAAAAACATTTATATGGACAAGAAATG